AGGGTAGTGTAGGGTCAAAGGTCAGCCTCAGAGGGTAGTGTAGGGTCAAAGGTCAGCCTCAGAGGGTAGTGTAGGGTCAAAGGTCAGCCTCAGAGAGTACTGTAGGGTCTTGGCTCTCTTAAATGATGAGGTTTGGCCACTTGCAGCAGAAACAGCTTTTTTAAAAGCTTTTCTCAGTAAATTTCAGACCACGAGTGACGCACTAACACTGTAGTCATGAATAATAGAGTTATGGTTTACAGGTGCTTGGTTGTGTTAAATCATCATCAATTAAACAAAACCATCTTCTGCTGAGGTCCAGGAGTCTCTGTGTTGTCCTTTAAATGGTGAGGCTGTCACAGAGTACACTTCCCATCAAAGGTTTTCACATGTTTACCCTCAACCGTCGTTTTCTCTTCAGCTCCCCATCAATCACAGTAAAAGACTGAAACAGGAGTTCCTAGAAACCGGTCAGCGAGCAGCCAGCAGGGCTTTTCTTCTTATCAGTTTGATGTAGAACAGGCATTCTGCTTCTAATTATTACTGTTTTGGGGTTTTTAAGATGCCAAGTAACACATCCAGTTACCCGTTCCAAGATAGTCCAAGATGGCGCCGGTGAGGTCGGCTGCCGTCACGACTGCTCCGACCACCTTTTCTTTGTTTTTGTTTTTTAAGTTAGTTTTTCGGTCATGCCAACAACAGACTGTTCTCTCTGTTGAGGTCAGGAAAGCGATTCCGCTCCCTGAAGACCAACACAGAGAGACTGAGGAGGAGCTTCTTCCCGCAGGTGATACAGTCTCTCAATCACACCACCACACAGCACTGACCCACACATATGGTTCTTACACACACTGGACATTCTGGACTTTGTTCTCACTTCATCACTTAAATCACTTTAAGCATATTTGCACTGCACAAGACACTAAATAATGTGGATTGCACAACACTGGACATTATATTCCTCATTTCCAGTTAATACTTGTACAGCTGCTGTTATTGTGTATATATATATTTATATTTCTTCATACATTCTCATATATTTCTATACTGTGTATTTTGTTGTACAGTTATTTTATTTTCAACTTTAATTTATATATTTTATCTTATTCTTTCCCAGTTAAATTTACCCTTCATTCTAATTTGTGTTGTACAGTTATCTCATTTTTAACTTTAATTTTTATATTTTATTTTATTCCTTCCTGGTTAAATTTACCCTTTTTAATTTTCATATTTATTTCCTATCTTATTCATAGCCTTTTCTTTTTTTTCTTTAGGTCACGAGCAGTTGTCCAAGCATTTCACTGCATATCGTACTGTGTATGGCTGTATGTGACAAATAAAATTTGAATTTGAATTTCAGCTGGTAAAGAACTGCTGATAGATTAAAGTGGTTCTATGGGAGAGGACACAACAGAATCAACAGGACATAAAGCGCTGATCACTGTG